GTTAGAAGAAATCTCTAGCATTAATTCTGATCATGGCTTGTCTTGAAAAACGAAGACAATCTGACGTTCGTCGTAGGAGAAGTCACACTGCAGGACTGTGTGCCAAATCTTCTGACACTGCCAGAAGTTCGTCGGAGGTCAAATTTGATCGCAACGGCCATTAATCGGCTGTCGGTGAACATGTCAAACTAAATCAAAGACTACAGATTTTAGCCTAGGATTATAGGAATCTTTTAAGATTTTCAAAATTTGTCTCAGACGACCAAATCGTGGCCAAAATCGCAGTGTGAGCCGGCTTTAGAGTGTGGGGCACGCAAAGAGTGTACTACCCCTTTAAGAGAGCGGCTGCTAATGATGACGCGCTAAGAGAGCGATACAGAGACTACTACCGTGTTTGTGTGATGCTAAAGAGTATTGTTTCACCCTAACATTAGAAATAATTGTACATTCGGAAGAATTGACACTTTATTTGAGTTTTCTGTATTTACTTTTTGATTATTCTTGTGAAACCTCCGTTTGGAGTTTAAGCACCGCTATAGTGACCCCGTGTGGTGAATCTGAGTATTATCTGTGATGTAAGTTGAGTGATATTGAATTATCACCTGTTATTTGTTGAACCATTGATTAAAAATCGCTCAAGATCACAACCAAGAAAATCTAACATGAAAACAGCAGCACAACCGGTGTTTCTCATAGCAAAGGCAACGAATCAGATAACCAGAGCCATGATCAGAATTAATGCTACAGATTTCTTCTAACCGCATAAATTAGAGCGCCGGAGTTTATGCGGTTAGAAGAAATCTCTACCATTAATTCTGACTTTTGGATTATTCCTGTGAAACCTCCGTTTGGAGTTTAAGCACAGTTATAGTGACCCCGTGTGGTGAATCTGAGTATTATCTGTGATGTAAGTTGAGTGATATTGAATTATCACCTGTTATTTGTTGAACCATTGATTAAAAATCGCTCAAGATCACAACCAAGAAAATCTAAACAGCGGATTGAGTTAAAATACCAAAATAAATTAGCAAATCTAAAAAACTTGATTCTGTGTCAATTGATTTTTTATTTTTTTTTTGGCAACATATATAAAGATAAAAAAGTAAAACCTACTACTTTGTACCAAATACTGTGTTGATAGTGTGCAGTGGTGGCATTCCAGTTCTTGTTCCTGCTTGCCTAGTACTCACGGTTTAATGCTGATTAGTTCTCTGAAGTTTTCTGGTGCGTTGCTTCGGTTTCGTCTTTCCGCTTCTATTTTTTCACTAGTCCAGGTCATCTGGTTTTTCTCTGGTAATACTTCAATGGTTTCCTCTTCTTCATCTGAGTATAGACTGCCCATTCTTATCAGCGAGTGTCTGTCCTTCACTAGTTGGGCCTACAGTCAGGAGTAATGGGACCACACTTAAGAGAACTGCTACTGCAGATATTTAACTTTTACAGTCAACAATACATTAAATGTGACGCTAACATGGAGCATCAGGTATGACTCCCCTAATTTAGTAACATGAAATACTATATTTCATAAAGAAATCTTGTACACTTTGATGCATTTTGTACACAGAAAGACAAAAAGCTATTTCATGTTGTTTATATAATGTATAATGTAAAGTCATCCCATTTTGTGTGGAAAAGTCTAAACCACAAAATGCATTTTGTGAATGAAATATTAATTTTGTGAATATTTAATTTGTCTGCATATTTTTTTTTGTCCACAAAATGGGTTGTTTTGATAATGAAATGCATTTCATAAATATAATAAGAATTTTGTACATAAAACAAGTTGTCTGGATGACAAAATACTTGCATATTTACTTCACACATAACAAGTGTTGTCAAAAAAGCATAAAAGCCTGCACACAATATCCTTAGAAAAAATCCTTTAAAATACTTATTCAGAGGCCCTTTTTGCTTTTTACTTTGCTTTTATGCTTTTTTTTTTATCTTTGACATATTTAGTTCACAAAATGCATTTTGTGACATGCTGACAAAATAAGGAAATTATTTCAACTGAAATGGAAAGCACTTGTGCTAATTTTTATGCACAATATTAGTATGCAGTTTGAAAATTTTTGCACAAATGATGCAATGACTACATTTCGGTAGATACAATTATATGAAAATACTTAAATAATTTGTGTAACATTTAAGTAACCACTTCAGGGTGTATTGTTTGTCATTGTCATATAATATTTTAATGATTTCTGTATTATTTTGCTGTTGGTAAGCTACAGTGTAAGTACAGAAGAGACATTTCACAAGTGAATATTGCTGTACCTCTCTGTCTCTCTCTGCACTAGAGAGCCTCATTTGTTTTAGCATCTGTGACCTCTGCTCCATCATCAGTGTCCGCTCATACGTATATGCTGAGATATCACTGTTGTGCTGCAAATAACAACATTTGACATCATGAAATAATGATGGCATACATACTTAATGTCACGGGGTGGGATGTGAAGTGTTAATAGTAAAGCGAAAGTGTTCTGTATACCATCTCAACCACTTCCACCTCTGCTTCTAATCTGAGCTGGTACAGGAAGGTTGCCAGGTCCTTCTTCATCTGAATGCTGTTATCGTCCATTTGAGCCACAGTGAAGATGCGCATCTTACATTTACGCCAGACCTGAAGTACAAGAATCCAAATAATATTGTGCTGATTTATTGATTGTCAGAACAAACATTGCCAATATATTTATAATTTAGATCATTCTCATTCATTCTCATTAAGTCTTTTTCTAACATTTAAAATCCATCATTTGTATTTTAAAATTAGCAATGATTAATTGTTCACCTTATGTTGTTTGAGAAGGAAAGGCAGGAGCATGAGCATTCCACCATCATGGACAATCCACCACACATCAATATATCCATCAGTAAAGCGCTCATGATTGCTGGGATAGAATGACACATTTTTTGGGACCATCAGAGCCAGGTGAGCAGCTGTAGTACAGCGGACTGTATCTACAAGTGAGAGAATATGAAAGAGGAGTGGATTACCATTAGCCTTTCTAAGGACTGTGTCTCAGTGCAGACAATTACAATGCACATAACTCAAATAAACCTTGCCCAAACTCTTGCTCTTACTAATGAAGGTTTTCCAAGCCCGTGGATCTTCACTCTGTCTCCAGCCATATGGCCAACCCATAACGACTGTGTTATGTTTCATGCCTCCCAGACCACAGGACTGGATGAGGTGTGCGATCCCCTCTCTCACTTTGGAGGCGACCACCACCTGACAGAAGCCCTTCACCCGCTCAATCTCCATCATGTTCTTTATTGCCTGGTGGAGGGTAAAGAAACCTAATTCAGTTAAATGTTGCCTTTTGCTATCTCTCAGCACACTCCAGAGAGGCTGATATAGAGCTGCAAAGACAGTAGACCTAATTTCATACATAACCATCATTGTATTTGCATCTGTAATTTAGGATCACAGTTACAGTCATGGTGATGCTAAAAGTGCGTGTAAATCAGGAAACTTCCTCACCTGTTCTGATGCTTGTGTTTCCCCATAGTATTCCAGGAAGTTGCCCTGTATCACTGATCCTACAATGGTTAGACCTTTTCCCGCCTTTAGCTGTGAGGCAAAGGTAAGCATTCTGGGATACTTCACATGCAGGTCTTCATCCAACTTCAGCAGAACCAGCAGCTGTGGCCTATTAACAATTTAATAAATGCGATTTTAGTGTAATTATTTATACATACACTACTCAGTTTGGGATCAGGA